ATGCTATAAACAAAAATTTTAAACTTCATTATGAAATACATATTATGAATAAATTTTAAATGCATATGTGGGAGAAGTATTTCAAAAGGGATGTCACATAGATAATTATCTTAATATTTAAAAGTAAGATTTCCAAATCAAAAGTACACTTTTTGGTTGGCCAAATGAGTTCTCCCTTCAAAAAACAGCATCATTTTAATTACTAGCGTATATTAAATACTGTGTCGGGTTTGTGCACCTACTTGCTGTGGAATGAAATGTCTGTGGTCCCAACTTCGCATGTTAAAACCCACTCACTAATGTGACAGTTAGAAGGTGTGGCTTAGGCTGGGGATTTAGCTCAGCGGCATAAGCACCTGCGTTGCAAACAGGCAGTCGAGAGTTCGATCCCCGGTACCGATAAAAATGAAAAAGACAAAAAAAAAAGATCAAAGAAGGTGTGGCTTTCATAGGTGATTTAGGCAAAGCCAGGTAACTGCCCTCTGCAATACCATGAGAACAGTAGAAGGCATCATCCATGAGCAGAAAAGGGTCTCTGAGCAGACACATAGTCTGCTGGGGTTCTGGTTTTAGGTTTTCATTCTCTTAAACTGCATGGGGTGAATTCTTGTTTTCATATACTACCTGCTCTACACTGTTTTGTTATTAAATAGCACTTTTCGAATGTATGAAATAGAGGCTACCAATAATAAAAATAACAGTATAATTGGTTTCATTTAACATGTTTCTGTATTAACAAAGCAGATATAAAAGAATCTCCAGGAAGTAATTCAACTTTCTTCACAGTTCACTACTCTATGTAGCTTGACCAGATCTGAAAAAGGAGTGAGGTACCTAGTACCTCTCCCCAGTAAAGAAATACTATCATTGAAACATTTAGTAGTTTCTTGATTTCTCACTACCAGTACTGCTAGCAGTCCCAAAAGGACGAAATTTTGACAGTCACAGTCAAGATGCATCAATGGCCTGAAGTGATGTGACTGCCTGTGACGCCAGCACTTGAGAGACGGAGGCAAAACTGCTGTGAGTTAGAGGCCAGCTTGAGCTACATGGTAAGTTCAAGGCCATTCTGAGTTGCACAGCAAAACCCTGTCTCAAAAAAGACAAAGAAAAAAAATTAAAAAAAAAAAAAGGTGCATCAATGAAGCCAGAGAATTTCATTACCCCAGAGTGGCTAAAATGTGAAAAGTCCCAAAGTAAGCACACTCCTTCTGCAGAAGTACAATGCCTGGTACTAATAACTACTTTCCATTGACACCTTTAGCTGGAAGAGCCTCTGCCACCCCAGAGTTCCCCCTCTTGTGGCATCACTGTTCTCTAACACTGTTATTCTGTCTACCAGAGCTATGCAAGTTAGCCCAGAGCCCCTGGAGCAGAGGTCTGCAACCCAGGCAGCACTGGCTAGTCCATCGATGAGTAGGAGTCCAAGCAAGTTCAATAACAGCCTTAGAAGAAACACTGAAGAGAACACAAAGATTCCACGAACAGTTTGTCTGCAGTGAGCATTACACATGCTGGCTAGTCTTTGAGGTCCCTGGAGTTGTCCTGATTTTCTCTGAGGTTTTTCCTTCAATTCTGTTTCTTCCAGGAACTAATATAAGTCTATAAACATCCAATGTGCTTAACGCAGTTTTACTGGATTTTAATCAATGACAACTGAGAATTCTATTATAAATTAAGATAATCAAATTAAGTACATACAGCATAATGACTTCAGCTAACACTGCACTACTGTATTCTTGAAATCTGCAAAGCTAGTAGTCCTAAAAGCTCTCAACACACTAACTATAGGCAACAATGGATTTGTTAAATAACTTGATTGTGCTGCTCATTCCACAATCTAAATGTATAACAATACATCTAATAGTATACCTTAAATATGCACTTTTTATTTGTCAACTATACCCCAGTATGGCTAAAAACTTATGTACAGTAAGTTCTCTACAACTGACAGGTGGGGAGATGAACAGAAAGTAAAATGATGTGGTCAAGGTCTCAATTCAATGAGAGCTAGAATGAGGACACAGGTTTGTCTAAGACCTATACATTTTCTGATGACTAAAATAGTGGTTTCAAGCAGAATGCACTAACTGAGAGGGGACCCTGCTGAAAAATTGTTCCTATCATTTTAAAGTCATTACTTTGAAGAATTGGAAGGCTCTTTCCTACAATTCTGTTCAATAAAGACAAGATTTGCTCACTGGAACCTATGGCTTATCAACCTCAACACTATATTTTTAAATGAAAGACAAATAGTAATTCTAATCTTTTAGGTAAGAGGATACCCAAAAGAAGTAAAACTACAATGATAAAAAGAGTCCTACAGCAAATGTGGAAAATGTGTGCATTCAACAGTTTTAGTCCCTACAGCACCACTATCTAGACTGGACCCTGATTTTTCCTTACCTAAAGAGAATTTGTACACCAAAGCATAATTTCTAGTCCAATTAATGCTGCTCTTGGATCTTGACCAATTGATTTGTACATAAAAAAGAGAAGTTACAGTTACCTACACTCTGTTCCATGGTAGCCAAAAAAAACTAATGAGTGAGATTTCTATAAAGATACCATGAATGATTACACATTTGTTTTTGTTTGTTGTTTTCTGAGACACAGTCTCACTATGCAGTTCTGAATACCCTTGAATTCACACAGCCCAATGTTATGGTTTATGTCTTGGTGTCCCCCGCAAGCCTCACACAGTTATAGAGACAGGTGAGTCTAGCATTTGGGATTCGTTCATTGTCTATCACTGGGATTGGTGGTATGATTAATGCACCTGTCCAGAGGTGGGGCCGACATACACTATAAGGGAGGGAAGAAGGCATGCTTTTCTCTTTTGCCCTTTTGCTCTTGTCGCTTGCTGCTGCCAGGAACAACTACCTCTCAGCCACACCACCCTGTCTTGGAGCCAGCTGAGTATGGACTGAAACCATCAAAAAACGTAAGCTAAATAAACCTTTCTTTCCTTCATTTTGGGGCTCAAGAATTTTGTCCCAGTGAGAGAAAAGGAACCAAGACACCCAAAATGACCTAGAATCTCAGAATTCCTGCATCAACCTCGAGTGCTAGGATTACAACCACTATAGGCTTGTACCATCACACCTCGCTTTACAAGTAGTAACATCTAAAATAAGAGTCCTGGGACTGAACATGTAGCTCAGTTGTAAAGCACTTGCCTAGCATCTCTACAGCCTAGTGTTCAGGCCCCAGCACTAAAAATAAAGAGTCTTGATGTTTTAGAAACTTGCCTGAACTCAACGAAACTACGGGGTAAAAATCTGGCAATCCAGCTTCTCCATGTTATTCCTCTACCCAAAGCTGTTACCACATGTCTACAAAAACTAACACAACTTTAGATTTAATTTAGATGTGCATTTAAAATGAGAAGTAATGCTATTCAGACAACCTATATAGGTATAGCATTTCAGCTGACTCAACTCTTGACACATCAACTTAAAAAAAAAAAAAAAAAAAAAAAAATATATATATATATATATATATATATATATATATATAGTCTTTTTCATCTTTATCGGTACCGGGGATCGAGCTCACAACCGCATTCTTGCAAGGCAGGTGCTTACGCCGCTGAGCTAAGTCCCCAGCCCCCTTAAAAATATTTTTAAAATATTCCTAATTTCTACATTTCAAGTGATGTAATCTTGTTAGAATTAGCTAGCCATGTAAATTCATTAAAAGCTGTTACACAGGCCAAAGATGTACCTCTGTGGCACAGCAAATGCCTGTCAAGCGCTAGGTTCTCGATTCAATTCCTAGAAGCAAAAAGAAAAGTAAAAGATGTCACAAAGTATCTGAGACAGCATACTGAAAATGTGTGCTACTCTAGCAAACCGACAAAATGTTAGTAACACAGTCTAATTTCAATGTGTAAAGTATTGTTTTCTAACAATTCTGCCCATTATAAAAATAATCCCTTTTTCATAACTTTAAAGGCTTCAGAATAATGTAATAAATTAGAAACAATTTAGCTTCCATCTACCACTTTCATGAGTCACTGCCTCACCTAGGAGAGATAACTGAGGGTTGTGAGAACGTCTCTGAAACTAGTTCTGTTTCTACAAATACGAAGTCGTAATATCCTAGGAATTTGTCTGATCACTGTCAAATCATAAAAAAAAACATGATAATCCTATTTTTCCAAGCTGATTCTATGTCCTGAAAGTTCACATTTGATTCTGGGAATGACTATGCGCTCCAAGATGCTTAAAAAAAAAAAAAAGAAAAAGAAAAAGTTTAGGCGCAATCCAGTCCTCCCTCCTCCTCTTGCCAATCTTGTGTCTTTTGAGATCAAAGCATTTGCACGTTGGTCTTTCCCAGGGGGTTGCCCACAACCAAGGGTACCCAATTACCGTTCTCAAAACATTTTTTCCACTTAAATCTGTTGATTCCAACTCTTGTGCAAATTGTGCACAATTTGTGCAAATTCATCACTGTATTGCTTCATATATACCTAGTTGCCAAGAAAGACACGCCCATTCCATCCCACAAAAGACTTGAGCATACTAAGAAGCACCGCTCCTTCCTCCCCCTTCCAAGTTCCTGTAAGTTTTGAAATAACTTCCCAAAAGAAAATCTCACAGCCCGCAGAACTCCCACCTCAGGATCTCTCTCACTGAGCGCGGCCATCAGCGGGACCCGTCAGCACTAACCCACGAAAACGCAGCGGGCGGCCAGGGGTGGGCGCTCGGCTTGGACGCCACGGAAATCAGGCGGACTTCCCATCGCCGGCCAGCACCGGGGCTTCCGTAGGGTACTGCTTCTTCTCAACGAACGTTTTCAGAAGCTGCACTCCGACTGCGCGACACAGCGCTTGCCGACCGCCGGGAAAGAACCCGGGCACTGAGGGCGCGGCGAGGCGCAGCAGCGCCGGCTCGCCCGCCGCGCGAGGAGGGCAGGGCGCGCGGTCGGTCCCGCGCGGCGGGCAGGCGGTCCAGGCCGCACTCCTAGCCCGCGCCCCAGCCCCACGCCCTGCTTACCTGTCCGGGGTTCCGGCGTCCGCCCCGGGGCCCGCACCTCTCTCGGCACCGCGTCCGCCGGCTGCCGGCCAGGAAGCCGCTGCGGCCTGCGGCTTCCCGCCCGCATCGGCCGCTCCCTCCTCCAGGGACACGGCGAGCTGGCTGAAGGCGTAGAGCAGCGAACAGAAGCCGCAGGCTAGGCACAGGAGCACGACGCGCAGGTATCGCCGCATCGCTGCGGCCCGCGCCACCGCGGCCGCCCGTTCCTTTTCCTTCGCCGCGCCCGCCCGGGCGAACTGGAGCAGGGGAGCGGCAGCGCGCAGGCGCGCGCAACAGGCCCCACCCCCCGCCGCCGCCTCGGCCGAGAGCGCGCCCGGCGGAGCGGCTTCCGCCCGCCCCCGGCCGCTGCCCGCCTCGCCTGCGCCCCCTGTCCCCGGCCCTCCTGGACGTCTGGTCCGGAGACCCGGCCGGGTCCCTGGGCGGTGTCGGCCCCCGGGGCGCGGGGCTTGATCTGACTTCTGCTCGAGGCTCTCCCTTGCAGAAGGCCGTGCCACCACTAAAGAAACTCTTCGACCCTGCTCCTTCCTCTAAAATGAAGAGGCCGCTGCGCTCCGGTGTAGGCCTGGACTGGTAGCGAGAATGAAATGGAGCAAGCGAAAACGGCTGAGGCTGGGAGCAGCTCCGTGTGCCTCCTCCGGGAAGTTGTCCCGGAAGTCACCCGCATGGCCTGCTGCCCAGCGACGGCCACAGCCTGCTCGCCCGCCTAGCTCTGCAGCCTGCTGTCACACAGGGTCCTCCTTTCTCCTGTGGCACTTTCCGTGCAACTCATCGTTAGCATATCCAAAATCTTGTCCTTTTTTTTCTTATAAATGGCTGTATTTCCACGCCATTCACTGACTGTTTTCCGAGCATCACTAAGACAGAGCAATGCAGTACCTTGGGAGTGTCAGATGTGTAGGGGACCAGGGTACTTCCGAGTGCAACACGGCGACACGGAACTTCGGACCCACGGCCGCAAGGATGCCGGCACACACGCGAAGGTGCGGCCAGTTCTGCGTGTGAATGTGGTCAAGGAAGGTGGCCCCACAGGCTAGAAAAAGCATGGGAGCAATCAATTAAAAGCTGAGGGGAAAATGAAAGGGGCTCCTGTGCTCAGGGAACTGTGAGAAGTTTGACACCACCAGGTAAGTGAATTCCAGAGAGGATGTGATGAGATAAGCCTGCAGTAGAAGGGCCAGCTACCTCAGTGTCTTGCTTAGCACACCAAGGAATTTGCACTTAATCTGACAGAGTTTTTAAGGGTTTTAAGTAGCGAAGTAACATGATCAGATTTGCATTTCTTTTACACTTTTTTCTTTTTATCGGTACCGGGGCTCGAATGCATTTTAGCTCTTCCTGGCAGTACTGCCAGCTGAAACAGAGATGAAACAGAAGGCAATTCCAAAATATGAAGCTTAAAAATACACACATCATGGAGAAAAATGGTGCTGTTAAATTACTGAAAATTTGGGACTGGGGATTTAGCTCAGCGGCACAAGCGCCTGCCTTGCAAGCAGGCAGTCGTGAGTTTGATCCCCGGTACCGATAAAAAGGAAAAAGACAAAAAATAAAAAAATAAATTACTGAAAATTTAACAGGTCTTGTAAAGTTTGGTCATGAAATACATAGTAGCAAGACAAAATGCTTACACCAAAAGTGCTGGCTCTATGCTGGTAGGAAGTCACTAAAATTTAAGGTTCCATTTCCTTTCCAGTAAGGATTGGATTTCATGCCTTACCTGACAAAAATAAAAACCAGCATACCATCAAGATGTGTAAAGAGAATGAAAACATACATTTATTCATTCAGTAAACATTTATTGAATATTTTCTACATGCCAGACAAGGGGCTCTGATGCACAGTATTCAGAAATAAAGAACTGTACTGCCTTCCAGGAGAGACAGGACAGTAACAACAGAAAGAATAATAAATAAATTTTTCTACTACACCTTACAATTCTTAGAGAAATGAAGGTAAACTTAACAAAGTACAAAGAATGATATAAAAGCATTGATAAGAAAGAAAAATAGCTTTGGAGAGGAAGTTAAAGGACATGGCATCAAGAAAGTACAGTAAAACCTAGTACTCAAAGAATGTTTAATTTAAAAGATACTAACTGTAACTCTTTAAACAAAGTAACTACTTGAAGTAAAGTAACTCCTTGACCTATAGAATGTTAAAATATTAGATTGGCACAAAGGGAGGCCAAGAATTTTTCATTTCTGCAACAATTTATTGAAGAAGTGTATCTGGAAGAGCATTTACTTGATACCAGGATTCTGGACCATATCATACCTTTAATCTTGTAATCACAAAAAAACATTCTTAAGAAGTCCTAAGGCATTCTAAAAATAGAAGTGATTATTACATTCCCCAGACACTGTCTTAATTGGTTATCCTGAAGCATGAGCTGTGTGCATGCTGGCATCCCTTCTAATCATTCCATCATTCTCATACTGTACTTTTATATTCCTATAAAGTTACTGAAAATTACTAAAAATATTTTGATGTCACAATAGGAATTTCATTCATTGTGTGCATACGTGTACTAAATGTATTTTTCATTTCTAAGAGTCTAATTCTTTGATAAACTGGTGCAGTACAAATTTTTAATTCGTTATCAATTTAATTCATGTTATCAAAAGGATAAATTTAAAGGAAGTAAAGCAAATTTAAAGTAACAATACTTGTTACTTAAAATAGCAATATTTAGTGGGTGTGGTGGCACACTCCGATAATCCCAGTATTCTCCAGGTTGAGGCAGAAGGACTGTTGCAAATTCAAAACCAGTCTGGGGGCTGGAGTGGCTTAAGCCCTGCCTAGCAAACATGAGATCATGAGTTCAATCTCTGGTACAAAAACAAAACAAAACAAACCAGCCTGGGCTACAAAGTGAGCCCAAGGCCAGCCTAAATTGCAGCCCAATTGTCTCAAAAAGACAGGAAAAAAAAAAAAAAAAGCAATATTTGTTGTTTAAAACAGGAGATAGAGATCTACATAATTGAGAAAAATTTCTGGTTTAAGATGGAAATTCGAAGACTTACATTTGAAAGACTAGCCTTGCTTTTATTTAGTTTTTTGGTTGCTACTATTACATGATGGGCATTCAACTTCTGGAAATTGTCCTCTGACTTCTTTTTTTAATATCTCTAAATCACTCTACAGAGCCAGGCACCTTTGGAGGCCCAGGCAGGAGGATAACTGCAAGTTCCAAGGCTAGCCTGGGCTACACAGTAAATTTAAGGCCAGCCTAAACTGCATAGCGAGACCTCGTGTCAAAAACAAAATCAAACAAACTTAAATCACTCTACAGTAGGTTTAAGATCTTGCCGAGCACACCCTTTCCATTTCTATGACTTCTTGATTCTTTAAAAAGATATCCTTTAGGAAAAACATTAAATTCTACATCTTTTAGGGCAAAATTCCTAACTTCCACATTGTAAAATTTAGTCTGTCAACATTTCTAAGAAGAAATGTTATGTTTCGCTTATTAAATACAGCCTGAAATTCAGAGAAGTTCCTTCACCACATGGTTAATAATGAAGATCCATAATTCAAGTAGAAATCTTTGAAGATCCAAAATGCATGTTGTTTTGTCCATTGTATCATCTTATCGCACACTATGAACTAGTAAGTACTACATTCAATGATTCTACTAAGTAAAAGTAGAAAGGAACCAAGTAATATGTGAAAATCTCATAGACTGGTCCTGGGAATTAAACTCACAAAGAAGTAAGAGTAAGATTAGTTGCAAAACACAAGGCACCAGAAACTCAAGTTAAAGCAAATTTATTCTCACCTCTCACTGGTTTATAGAAGGATATGTGTCCATTTTTGGACTTGAGGAAGAACTGGAAAGTAATGGTGTTAGTTTTTTAAAAATGTATTTCAACCAGGCATGGTGGCACACTCCTGTAATCCCAGTACTTGGGAGGCTGAGGCAGGAGGAACAAAGGGGAAAAAAGGATTTCATTTTAAATGTTCCTTCAGACCAGTAAATTTGGTGGGGAGGGAGAGTAGGGTCAGGGGTAGGAGGAGAGAAAAAAAGTCTAGAAAGAGAGGGAGTGAACCATCAATGAGATGGGACATGTCTGTTACTCTGTGAGCTGAAGACAAAGCTGGCATTTCCAGGTACACAGAAAGGAGACAGGAGCCAGCAGGGCAGGAAGGAACAAGTAGTATTCTATGACCATCTCGCATTTCGTTCTGGTGCAGTGCTCAGGAGCCTTCCATGGCCACTAAAAGGACTGTCATCCTTTCCTGCCCCAGCTGGGGGTCAAAGCCAGAGTCTTGCACACACTAGGCAAGCAGTCTCCCTCTGAGCTACACCCCTCCCCGTGATTTTTTTAAACTAAAACACCCATACACAAATCCTCCAAAATCTGTCATCAATCAAACCTCCTAATTACAATATTAAGAACCAATTAAACAGGCTAACTTATCCCAGGTTTCTTAAAATTGCAGGCTGAGAATAATCACACTTTTGAAGCTTAGCTGAAAAGTGAATTCATAATTCCTACTGACATTTCACACTCCTTTCTACACAGAAAGAGGCATTCTATGGGGCTTAATTTTACATTTCTGTGCTTTAATAAAGTAAAAAATTATTTTTTACTCTTCCTAATTGTCCCTTAAACTTTTATCTTCTTCTGTGCTAAAAACATAGTTGTTGGGTCTAGGGATTTAGCTCAGCGGCAGAAGCGCCTGCCGTGCAAGCAGGCAGTCGTGGGTTTGATCCCTGGTACCGATAAAAAGGAAAAAGACAAAAAAAAAAATAGTTATTTTCTTTTAAAAACCAAAACTACCTCTTGGGTCTAAGGAACTCAGTCTATTTCCTTTTTTAAAAACATGTTTAAAAAAAATTCTTTTTTTGGTTCATTAATTGTCATCTCCCAAGCTAACTGTAGTCTTCCAACTCCTGCTAACTCCAGAAGTAGACACAGGACCACTTCATTGTTGCTGTTATTATTAAAAGAGTATAATGAAAGTAACAGACATGAAGAAGTCTAATTCATCATGGTTCCTAGTTTGGTTTTTAAATTTTCTTGCTAAAAGAGTTCACAAAATCGCGGTAAGGTGGTACCTTTCATCCATATTCCTTTCTTCCAGGCAGGGAAGCAGACACAACCTTAGAACCCACAGGACCCATGCACATCACTTCCATGCCTCAGGAATTCCTGCTGCGACATGTAAATTCACTGGACACCCCCCCCCATTTCCCTTTGGAGCTTGGCACAAGTTGAAATAAAGGCATTGTAAGTAGTTATTAATATTTAGCCTTATTTACACTTAATAGTTGAGGCAATTTTTAAGAACAAAAGAAAACGTCAAAATTTGGAAAATTATAGAAAGCCAAGAAAATTTAATCAGGCATGGGAGCACATACCTGTAATCCCACCACTCTAGAGGCCAACACAGCAAGATTGCTGCAGGCTGGAAGCCAGCCTGGGCTACATGTGAGACCCTGTCTCAAAAAACCAAAATAAACAAATAAATTTTTTAAATTTTGGAATACATACAGGCTATTGAGCCCTACATAAATTAAAATTGAGCCCAATATTAATCTGAAATTTCTTGCAAATACAAAAATTAAGGACAATAAATGAATGATCCGCATTGTCTATAAGGGCAAATTTTTTTGGCTTGTTTTGGTTTTGGGTATTTTGCACTATTAACTCAGGGCCTCATGCATGATATACAAGCTCTTGACTACTGACCTACCTCCCCAACCTTTCTTAAATTTTACTTTGGAGAGAGTTGTTAAATTGCCTAGAATGACCTCAAACTTGAGATCCTCTTGCCTCAGCTTTCCGAATAAAAGCAATTACAAGTGTACATCACCAAGCCCAGCTGTTTCTTGACTTTAAAAACCACAGGAAAATCATGAGTTACATCAAATTACACAGCTTAAAATCTTCAACTCTGGAAATTCAAGCTGGAGTATTAAGACAGCTGCTGGTTATACATTACCAACTGCAAACATCTAATAAGGCCCTAACATTTTCAGTGTGGACTTACAGTGGATATTTAGGGATAGGTAAAATTTTCTAGGGTAAAAAAGTAGCAAGCACTCTCTCCTTTGCTATTTTGTATCTTCTGCATATTTTTATTGTTGCAGTGATGGCACTATAATTATTTATAGATCTGTAAGGTATGATTTTTCACATCTTTGTCTTTCCAACCCCGTAGTAAAATGCCCAGCGCCCAAAACTTAATCAATAAATGTTCACTGAATTAAATAATACTGATGCAAAGAAAGCCTAGATTAGAGAAATACTGAAAATATTATAATAGTAAGCTAGTCTATATCTCCCACTTACGGGGGAAAAAGGTTTAGAATGTAAAACCTGTCCCAGAGAACTGAAACTTTCAGAGGTCTCTGATTAACTTCTTCTACTGAAGTATCTGGTTTTATTGTAGTATTTCATCTGCTTCAGAATTTCCCCCATTCCTCTGCACTGGCTAATCACAAAGTCTAATGCATTAAAATTTAACACTGAAATGATGTGGGCTAGTGGAGTTGGTACACTGGTACCTCAGCTTACCAACTCAAGTCCCTCCATGATTCTGGTTGCAAGCTCAACTGGATGAGAACCATGCCAAATTTCCTCATAACGTAAACACTGAGCCTAACCACTGAATTTGATTTGGTTCCCATCCAACTCAGTTTATAACCAGAATTATGGAGTCAAGCTGTATAATTTAAGGAAAATCTGTAAGGTTCTTAAACTGGTTCTTGTGAAAATCATTCTGAAGTACTACACATATTGCTGCTTTAGTAAACAGTCCATTAAATACATTAAACTCTAATGCCCAAGTCTTTAAGGTGATTTGTCCCACTGTATCTTTACAGGGTATGTTCTCCAACTGCCATGTTGTAAGTTGTGTCCCTCCCTAGTGATTCTCCATTACGCCAATTGCACACCAGTGCTCTGTGCCTATCTCTTTCTTTCCCCCTTCTCTCTTCCTTCACTTTCTTTCTTTTCTATCTTTCCTTGCCTTTGATACTAGTGGGTCTTACTGTTCATCGTTCTCAATATCCAAGAAAGACATTCCTTTCATGCAACTTTCAAAATACAATCAATCCCATCCTGTGTCTTATAATCTTTACTGTTGAGTTCACTCAGCTTTTTTGTCACTGATGATCTTTCTGCCCTTCAATTTTTGTAACTTCTTTATTTCAGGAAACTGAAGGTGTCTTATGAGAGGGGTAAATGCTAAAAACTCAAATCACTATTTTACTGTCATCCTCTCCTTACAGATACATTCTTCTGTTCTTTCTTAATTTTCAAAAAGTACACTGCAGAAGTATCAATAGCTTAAACAGTTCCTACATCAGATCCTTCAAAAATTCTGGAAGAGAAAATTTGCAGATCAAGAAAGTAAAATAAGGGCCTCAGTGGAAATTAGTTTCCAGACCACTTACCATTAAAACATATAGTATGTTAAAACTACATTCTTTTAGCCAACAGGGGTATTCTCTCTCCGCAAGATAGGGTGTCACTGCATAGTTCAAGCTGGCCTTAAATTCACTATGTAGTCCAGGCTGGCCTTGAACTCATGAGAATCCTCCTGTCTCAGTCTCCCAAGTCTGGGATTAAGGCATGTGCCACCATGCCTGGCTATGGATCTGTTAACTAAAAGTTAATAAAGATTCAACTTAGGCTGATGTTTTCCTTCCTTTTAAAAATATTTTCACCTTATTACCACTATGATTTTAAGAAGCATTTAAAAATAAAAATCTTTTAACCTATTAAGTCAACTATTTCTACTGTGCAATACAAATACTTTTAAGAGTATGCTTTTCAGCTCGATGCAGTGGTGCATAGCTGTAGTCTCAGCACTCTGAGAGCCTGAAACAGGAGGATCACAAGTTTGAGTCCATCTGAGCAAATCAGTGAGACTCCCTCTCAAAACAAAAAAAAGAGGCTGGGAATGTAGCTCAGTAAAAGCCCTAAGTTTGATCCCCAGCACTAGGGGCAGAGGAAATATCTATTCTTGCTTTCCTCAAAAGTATACCTTCACTTACTTATATCAAAGTAAGATAATAAACTCTAAAAAACATCCAAATTGCTTTTGTATAAAATTTAATCCAAAGAACTCAAAGCTAAAGCCACACTGTAAATTTACAGCACAATACAGAGCTAAAATATACCCCTAAATGCACCCTAACCCCAGGCTCTGAATCTTTTTGCATACTTCAACAGTAGGTATAAATTACTGATGGTATCTGCATGCTTTCTTGGTGTGGAAATATATTTGAGGTAGAGTAAAATGAAGGCAGGTGAAAATAACTGTGATTAATGAAAGGAAAATAAAATTTCAAGCTAGGCAACCTAGTTCATTTCTTCAATCTCATAGTGTATATTTGTGCTAATGGTAGAAGGATGGTATTTCTAGGACCATGGCAAACACCTGATGTTACAGTGAAAATTCACAGTAGCTTTTGTAACACTATTCCTTTAGGCTATCCAGGAGGTGTGGAGATGATTTCATTACAAAAATTATTTTTGTATTTTTATATAGGGTTTTACCTAAAGTTTTACCTAAACTTACCCTTTCATCTGTGCTGAGGCTCAAACCTAGGGCCTCACACATGCCAGGGAAGCACTCCACCATGGGCCTACATACCAGACCATAAAAAGGTTTATATTTACTGAGCATCTGGTATTTGTCAGACAGTTAAGAATCTTATCTGACATTTAATCTTCCCAACAACCCTTTGAGTTAGATATAATCATCACTGATTTTATAGAATGGAGTAATTTACTCCAGCTTATTTGAATACTAACACAGGGACTTGAACACTAGATGTCAGCTAGCACTCTTAACCCTTCAATGCCTAGTGAGTGTTCCATTTTTGGAACTCCTCTACGAACATAATAAAAATTTTTCACTTTGAATTCCTGTTCCTTGAGTTTTTCTAGGTTACATAAGAACTTCATGCAAAAATCAAAAAAACTTCACTCTATGCAATAATTGGGTTAATTGCCATGCTGTCTTCCATCTAAATAGAATAGTAAGCATGTCCTATTCAGGTAAAGTTCCATCTTGTGTCAAGATTTTTCTCACTGTAGTTCCTTTAAAATAAATCTTGAAAGTATCTGATCATCATAAGCTTTGACTTAAGTACTAGAGTATTTTTCTATTTCAGTAATTTTTAATTTATACTATCCCCAAAAATGAATATATAAAAATTTGAAATGTGAAAAACTAAGGATAACACAAAATATCCTGTTTTAGAAGAACATAACCAGTTAGTTGGATTTCATTGAAAGTATCTTAAACACAAATGTTCATTTTTCATTTAACAACACTAAAGAATGAGGTATATGAATGTTTTAATCACAGATTTTTACTGTATGCAATTAACTGTATTTCACAACTAGCATCTTACAAAAGACGGTACCATTATCTCTGTAAAAAGTACTGAAATTAAACAAAATTACAATTACCACGAGAAACCACTAAATATCACAACTGTCAGGGTCTACAGTTTTTTTCTTTAAATGTTACCATGATATCTTTTATGTGATATTTTGTATTCTTGTATTCATGTTATATTTTTAAGTTAATTTACATTTCAAAAGTCTCTATAGGTGGATATATATTCAGCAAATGGTTACAGAAAGCAGGAGACCACAGAAGAATTTAAAAAGTATTGTGTGGTTTCAAAGTTGGAATTTTTAAATACAACATAAAATATTTTATTAGTTGTAAACAAAAATCAAAATCTATAATCATAAAAATATTTTATTGGTATCTGTACATAATGGTGAGTGGGGCTGTAAAATGTTTTTATTTCAGAGTATTAATAAATGCATAAATTGGCAGTTGTGTCTGAAAATAGGGAACTATGATTTTCATGAGAACTGCTGTGTTTAACATGAAGCCAATTAAGTTGATTTAGGATTAGTTATTTCTTAGTTCTATGCAACAATTCCATTTCTGTATTAACTGACCCCTGGATAAGTTTGGGACAAGAAAACAGCGATAAAACTATCATTAAATTAAAGCTTTTCCAAAATCGCAGCTTTTATAATACGGCAAGTTTTTGTTTTTGTTTTGTTTTTTTGCCAAATGCTTGTAATTATCTGAATTTTAATATTTTATATAATACAGAAAATAACCAGTGTTCAATGACAACAGCACTAAACCTGAATCATAAAGCTAAATAATCAATGCTTTGTCTACTAATCTTCTAATAAACATATAATAAATGTTTTGAAAAATAAGCAAACAAAAAGCCTTCAAAAATGGGTAAAACCAGCAACATAACTCACAAACAATAATTTAGTAAAACATGTCAAAAACATTGGCAAAAGTTCATACAAATTCTTTAATAACAACTTTCCTATTTAACCACACCAAGTACCAGCAGGTGTATTTAAGAGGATAACCATTAAGAAATCCTGTTGCAGCAATAGTTGATTAAGTTGATCTCTGACTTGTATACATATAACTATTTGTTTCACAATTCTCAAATAATACATATTTAGGCAGCTTGCAGTATGTTATAAAAAATTTAAATTCATTACATGCCAATAGAGAATTCAAGAATTATGTGTTAGAATTCACTAAACTAAAAGTGAAAATAGACTTACCAATAACACTGCATATGAATAATTCAACCACATTTTCATGACACCTAACTACAGAGACCAAAATGTTAAGTCTGGAAATGTTTTGTAGGCATAGATCGCAATAGAACCCAACAAATTCTAACAAATTTTAACTTTATGTAAAACTCAAATTATGGATTGTGCACAATTATGTTTGTCATGAAAATGTGGTACTTCTTGGCATAATCTGTGTATTTGCATGGTAGGACAGAAGTGACTAAGAAACTGGGAAAATAAACTTTAATGTGATTCTCCATTCAGTGATGAGGCTTCTCCTCTAGGGGATGATGATCGGGACACTCCCCTCTCTGTGTTGTCAGAGCTGGAGCTGCTCTGACTGTGTTGATCTGCAGAAGCAGCACTAGATGCAGGTGGTGACTTTGTTTTCTCCTTAAAGTCTGTAATAATGACTGTTAGATCTCCAACGGTAACTTCCAAATGCTGTGCACTACTCCGATCCACATTTTTCAATCTTGGCCTAAACACAGAAAATGATGAATTTTTTAAAACTAGCTTTTTCCTCTGTCAAATTTATGACCACATATTAAATAATAAGGCAAGAGTGACAAAATGAACACATTTGTGTTTAAAATCATCCATGTGTAACTAGTCACACAAATATTAAATGTTTCAAATCATGAGTATTAATCAAACCGATCATCTATGAACCATCAACATGACAAAAAACAAAAACAAAAAAATTGTGACAGCCTGAAAGTAGTGGTCTCTTAATTGTGTTTTAAATTTATTTTACAATTTGTAGGCAGCTTATTAATCTTATCAAGATACTTAGGATAACACAGGGTTGCACTACAGAGAAAATTAATAAAACACTTAAGGGGAGCTGTCCTTGAGGCATTATTCCAACTGATAGGCATTTCAAAGCTGTCATGATTGCTCTGCTAGATGCATGACCATACTGACAAGTCAAAGCCTATGCAAACATCCAGGCAGTGTTTTCAATACCACTATTTTAGCCGTCAAACAGCCCTTCTACATAAGGGGAAAAAAAGAACAGGCAATGTCTTTCAAAAACCTAGTGAAAAAAAGGAAAAAAATCCTAACATTTAAGCTCATATTTGTGACAACTGTGTTTGCCTTCCAATAAACCTTTCAAAATCAGAAGCTTTCATAACACTTTGGAATAATAGAGATAAATCTGTTAGTTTCCCATTGTTCGAGTATACCAATGTTAAAAGAGAATATTAAATGGTTAATTTTATTATTTTAAAAATGCCATAAACACTTCAGATTTACCTGGTTTTCTTATGACTGTTCTTTTTGCTAGTTGTTTCCTTTTCACTTTTTTCTTTTTCTACTTTATCTTTTTTCTCTTTCTTTGACTGTGTAGGGGGCACAAACTGCTGAGTAACCTGCTGTGCAACCAACTGGGAGACAGGTCGAGGTTTCCTGTGTACATGTTAAAAAGAAAGATTTTTAAATTATAACTGAATATAATATGCTTTTTATGAAAGAATATCTCATGTTGTGATGATTTTCAAATATAAAATTTTTCCTATGTAAGCAATAAATTATTGTCCTTCCTGTTCAACAAAAATAGAACAAACCATTGTAACAGTTAAAAATTATAGTCTAAGATATATGGTCAAACCATTAGATAGTAACAGTAAATAAACCAACATGAGACATTATCTTAAAATATATATCAAAGAAAATACTCACAGGAAAGCACATATACAAATAAATATGAATTTAAAAACTTAAACTTGAAATTCTGCACTGGAATAACAATTTTTTTTTCTTGGTGTTGAGGACTGAGCCCAGGGCCTTGCATATGCAAAGCATACACTCTGAGCCGTATCTCCACATCCTGAGGTAATATTTCAATTTATTCTTCTCCTTCAGAGAAGGAAATATCTATCTGTCACAATGGCGAGGGCAACTCGTTTTTTCCTTTAAATCCTTTAATTTAATCACTTAACATTTATTGAATATAAAAATGTTTCATTCTTTCAAGTTTGAAATCCTTTGTCTCTAGCCACAATCTCACTATGCTATGTTTTTTTGTTTTTTGGAAGGGGGATACTAAGCATTGAACCCAAGGCCTTCACACAGAGATACATCACCAACCTTTTTTTATTTTCTGAGACTGAGTATCTCTCAGTTACGCTTTAACTTGAACTTCTGTTACAGTCTCCTAGAGCGCTGGAATGGCAGGCACATACCACATGACCAGCTGTCATTATGCAATTTTATGCATTTTCAATCTTGGAGATTTGCTCAGAAATCTGAATTCACCTGCTTACTCATTTAAGAAGCATATACTAAGAACCTGCAGGGTTTTTAAAGTATCTTAAACATTGCCTGGTTTCACCTTTAATAGCTAGTATAAGTTATCATCTCTTAGTCGAGGGTTAAGAATACCTTTAGCATTATAAAAGAACTTGGGTAACTGAGGTCAAGATTCAAAGTTAATAGTCTCTTAAATTCTTAAAGAGAGAAAGAAAGGTAAGGAAGGCCAAGGAGAGAAGACAAAGAACTAAAGTTAAGTTTTAATAGATGGTATACTAATAATGGTAAACTTGCTGCCCAGAAAATCTTTACCATATTTTGGATAGTAGAGTTTTAAAAAAAAAACTTTTGTTACTGTTTTGCTCCTCTACATCAAAATAAAACAGAAAAAATAACAAAAACACACTGCACAATGTAATATTCAAAGTTGCAAGGCTGGGAAGAAAGAGGCAACAGTATGTAAAATAGATTTTAGGAAATGAACCATGAATCTTGTTCAGAACCTACACTGTGTAAAGGACTAGCAGGACACACAAGACAGAGTCTTGTGCATAATTTTAAAAGGTCTGACAGAAATCAGGGGTAGAGATGTAGAAAAGAGTTATATAAGAGAAGTGATTTTGAAAGTGTGGTGATTAATGGCTGACACAGAAAGGAGCTTGGAAAAAATCTCCTAGAAGGCTTGTTCAGTTCGCTAAGTCCTAGCCCCAGAGATTCTAACTCAGCAGACTGTGGATGCAGCCCCAGAATTCCTAATTCTAACTAGGCTCCAAGTTATGCTGATGTCAAGGACCATATTGAAAAGCAGTTTAAGAAAGGGAAAACATTTGGCAAATACTGGTACTACTGTAGCATGAAGTTTAAGATGCAGCACAGGGAACAGCCGAGAAATGGAATGTGGGGCAGAGAAAACTGTTAGGAAGCTTCATAGACAGGCAGACATGATGGCACACTCCTGTAAGTCTCAGCACCTACATGTCTCTCAGATAGAGTCTAAGCAGACTGCATAAAGTATGGCTATAATGTGAAAAAAAAACCCAAAGAATTTAGTTATCTACCATGTGTCAGGATAAAGTATTTTTAGGAGCTAACTTTGATGGGAGTAAAAAGCCAACATAGACAAACTTGATATATGCAATGGCTAACCATGTTTCTGCACTCTACCTCTGCCAACAAAAACATGCTAAACATTATAATAATGTCTTCTACTTGATCAACTTCATCATAATTTAGCTTTGTCATGTTGGGTACATAAAATAGAAAAATAGATGGAAAGAATAAAAAATGATGACTACTTCTTTTCTAAAAAAATGCAGTATTAGTCATAGTTCATAGGACAGTAATCTACTTAACAGAACTAAAACATGTGGCAAGCCAAAGTAATATAATGTTATACATCTCAATGAGTGAAAATGGTTGGATGAGACCTGAATTTATCATAAATCTCGTGATACACTGCCAACAAAAGCCAAAAAGTCTAATCAATCAAACATTCTCAGAAGCCACCTGTTTGATAAATTTCTTGTAAACCTACAAATGTCAGGCACTAAGTAAGAAATGAAGATTAATTATGAAAAAGACACAAAATCCCTGCCCTTGTGCAATTTAGTTAGCAGATGAGATGGAAACTACACAAAAGTAAACTATATAAAAGTAAATTTTGTGAAGGTACACATATAAATCTGTGTGCTGTGATTAAACAGGACTTACAGAGATGGAAGAATCATTACTCTTTAACTATCATTACACCAAGAAAAAATAACCATCATCAGAAATCTTTCAGGAGTCTGGTATTTTTAAGACATTTTACGAAGAACTAAGGTAACAATGAAATAACCTTGCATTTTATTAAGCCTTTAAAAGAACTTGGCATGAAAGTATATTGGCCACTTGTGTCTGCATGAGATTAGTTCTATGACATTCCCACAGATACTTGAAGGATATCAAAATCCATTCTAGAACTCAGGAGGCTGAAGCAAGAAGATTGCTTCAAGTTTGAGACCAGCCTGGGCTACAGAGTGAACTTAAGGTCAGCCTGAACTACATAATGTGACCTTATCTCATGGAAAAAAAAAAAAAAAAAAAAAGCCAGGCATGGTAGTACACACCTGTAACCCCAACCTGTAGGAAGTAGCGGCAGAAGGATGGTCTCAAATTCAAGGCCAGCCTGGGCAATATAGCAAGACTTTATTCCAAAAAACAAAAACAAACAAACAAAAATAACACACAAAATCCACAAATGCACAATTCTCATAAAATGGCATATAATCTATATACATCCTCTTGTATACTTTAAATCATCTCTAGTTAGCCAATACCTAATAAAATTTAAATATAGTTGCTATACTGTATTGTTTAGAGAATAATGACAAATACAACGAAGTCTGGATGTTCGGTCTAGAGGCAATTAATTAGTTTCCCCCAAAATAGATTTGTGATTGGTTTAATCCACAGATGAAGAAAAACCCCTGGGTATAAAAAGTGGACTGTACAGCTCTGAAGTGGCCAAAGTTTCTGTTTATTTGTTTCATGGTGTCAGAGACTGAACCAGGGCCTCATGTATGCTTAGGCATACATTACCTCTGAAGTATACTTCCCTGGCACTAAAGCTTTTTAGTTTTTTGTTTTGTTTACTATTTCCCAAAAGTAACTAATTCACTAGTTATAGAGTCTACATGATGAAACATAACCCATCTTGTAACTGCTGATTTCTGATTTCAAACACTACATCTGTAACAGATTTTATCTTTCCTTTCCTTTCTTTCAGTTGCATCATTTTGTTTTGTTTTGTGACAGGGTCTCACTATGTAGCCTAGACTGGCCTTCAATTCACACCAATCCTCCTGCTTCAGCCTCCCAAGTGCAGAGATCACAGATATGCGCCACCACACCTGCGGAAATCAATTCTCATCAATTCTCGAGTTTGAGAAAAACTGACCCATTTAAAGACTTATAATCTGAAGCCTCTTATAATATGGTTGATTTCAGCATCATTACAATTATAGTTACTGACTGTACAGTTACAATTACAGTTACTGACTCACGTAGTAACTGAAACATCTACTTTTGTCAGTTTTCTTTCTTAAGAGGAGATAATGAAAAATTCTGAATTTTCAAATGGTTGAATAAAGCTACAAGACGGAAAGAACAAACGGCGTCCTTACATTTCTTTTATACTCTCTTGAAAGATGATAGATACAACAGCATGAGTGATTTCTAGATGAATCCATTATCTTTCTGTTTTCATATTATTTTGGTCTTTTTTAAACGCAGTTAGGAGTAACTGTTTAGTAAAGATAAAGTAATTCCTAGGATGAAGAGATGACAAACTATTTTAAGGAAAGGAAAAATAAAATCAGTAAGACCTCTTATATATATATATATATATATTTGATATTAAAAGGCCTAAAAGATCTATATGGTGTATTTTCAAAAGCAAATTTTTCCTTATTCTTTGAAGACTCATGCAAAGAATGAAACTTAAAATATTAAAATAGAAATACTCAAAAAAGAACTCAGAAACTAAAAATGGGCCCAAAACAAACAAAAAATATATACAAATACTAGACTAATATACAGATTCTGTCACTTTATTTTTATATATTTATCTTTAATTTTTTTGAAACAGGATCTTGCTATATCGTTCAGGATGGCCCTGAACTCAACTGTGTAGTCCAGGCTGGTCTCCAACCTCCAGCAATCCTCCTGTCTCTCAGCCTCTTGGGTTCTAGGATTACAGATATATACTACCATGCCTGGTTTCTACCACTTTTTTTTTTTAAACTAGGGATCAAACTCACAAACTTGTGCTTGCCAGGGAGGCACTTATGCCACTGAGCTAAATCTGCAGCCTTCCACCATTCTTTAAATGCTACCGTATTACAATAACCAGCTTTAGTTCTTAGCTCCATATTAAAGAACATTTATAAATAGTACAAAGCAGAATCTCAATACTTGAAAACTTCTAACTTCTTTTATCTTATTATCTAGCAATCTTAACTTTCTTCAAATATCAAAAAAATTGCTCAGTGACAACAAGGGCTTCTAGAAACTATCAAGAAAAACCATTTTGGATTGGGCGTGGTGCTGTACACCTATATCTCAACACGTGGAAGGCTAAGACTGGAATATCACCATGAGTGTGAAGCCAACCTGGGCTAGTGAGTTAAAGGCCAGTTTGGGCTACATAAGCAAGATTTTTGCCTCCCCATAAAATGTGTTGGTTACAAAATCATTCCTCTCCACATGCTTTTAAGCAATTCTAAACCTAGTGTCTCAACACATGCTAGAATACTACCCCAGAAATACTTTAACATTTCTAAATCTCTAAGACTGTCTGCCTCTCATGAGAACTCTCCATTTTAATTTTAATACCTCTTCAGCTCTTTTCGTTTTATTTCGTTACAAATTTAAATTTATTTTGCTCTATATATTTCCTACTACTATAAATTTTCATGAGATTTCTTCTTAGCCTTCTCTCTGGACTTCAAGCTTGGTTAGTCCCTCAGAATTAGGTAAATTAAATAAAATAATGAATGTTTAAAAATATACTCTAAACTATAAGATATTTTTAAAAATTTCTATGAATAATCTATAAATATATTTTGAAATCCTGGACACTCTTATTGTTTTATTCAACATTAATCCCACAAATTCCAGATAAGCTTGCCCATGAAACCTACCTCAAGGAAAAACAGGAATCTTACATAATAGAAATCTAAGTAGAATGATTCACTTTGTAGAGACTTCATTTCTTCCTCATAAAATTATATTATAAAAAATAACTCTTCTCATAAAATTATGTTACAAAAAATAAAAATATAACTGGTACTTAAGAGTTTGTAATTAAATTGAATTTCTAATTAGTATTTTAATTAGTAAAATTAAAGGCAATCTCAGGGGAAACAGTAGTAGGCATTACAGTCAGAACCTTATGCATACTAGGTAAGCAGTCTATCACTGAACTATATCTGCAAGCTCTTTTTATTTTAAGACAGGGTCTCATTAAGTTGCTCTAGCTATGATTCTCCTGCTTTATCTCCCAAATAGCTACGATTATAGTTATCTGCCACCATGCTCAGCAAGAACATCACATTTAATATTGTAAATGCTAGTAAGTTTCCATTCCCGACTCTATCGTATAGATACAGTATTCCTTTCTCCAAGCATAAAAATATATTCATGTCTTTCCCATATTAAAGAAAAACTGTTCTCTCTTTATAATTTCTATTTATTTATCTACCCCTCTCTTTTTCCAACTATCTCAGTTTTCTTATGACTTTACTTGTACTTTCTTACCAAGTTTGTCTTTTTTGTCTACCACTTGACACCACACAAAGATCACCAAGTATGGTAAAACCAAAAAACACTTTCGGTCTTCATATTTGACCTCTATGTATCATGACACAGCAACAGCATCTTGTTATCCAGTCAACCACAATTCAAAACTAAATAAGATACTGTGAGAGAGACTAGTCACATAACAAATATTACAGTGTTCATTATATCATCTCTGCATGCCTAACTTATAAACTGAACTTTATCATATGTATGTATGTATAGGCAAAAGATTCATGAATACACACACACATATACATATATACATATTCCTCTCTCCTTCTAAGATCAGCATTATCTGATCTGAGGTACCAGACATCCACTACGAGTCTTGAAATGTAGTCACAGAGTACAAGAAGGACTAGTCTTTAAGACTCTTGTACCATAACTACAATGGCAATGGTTCATGTTCTTACCTTCTCTAGTAAATAGCTTTTTCTTAGTGTTCTTCCCACCAACTTCTTAGGAATCAAACTACTGATGTACCAGTACGCTATATCTCTAGCTCTTTTTATTTTATTTTGAGACAGTGTCTCACTAAATTGCCCAGGCTGGCCTCCAATGTGGGATCTTCCCACATCAGTTTCCCAAACAGTGGAATTATAGGTGTGGTACCATCACACTGGCTTCAGTCTTCTTATGCCTATGCTGTCCTCTAATTTTCCCACTTTAAATGTCAGATTTACCTCAGTTTTCTGCCCTTAACCTCTTCTCTTATGCAAACATGCTTACAGCCAATTCATGTAAGTGGACCCTTACATGACTTACAAACTCAATTCATTCACAAGGGCTGGTTGCAGCTCAAGCTGCTTGTGAGGCAATACTATTTCTCCCATAAGAAGTAACAGAAATACCCATAATGCATTCCAAATCTCCCAAAGCACCCCTTCACTAATCGTTTCATAATTTTTTTAAAGAAGTGTTATGTAATGGGTGTGATTTACCAGAAACATCAATAACTCTTCTAGTGTATTTACCAAAAAGTTACAAAATGTGCCTAGTTTACCAGAAACAACAATGTCATACTGTACTCACCATTCAAATTGACACCTTTGGCTTGCAGAAAGGGATGGTGGGATGGAAAGATGGTATTGTTTGGAAGGAGAGTCCCCCCTTCCATAAGAACAGCAAGAACCTGGCTCTCTGGTGTCCTTTCTCTCCCTAGAGAGTCTGTAGCCTACTGGACCTGCTTTAGTCTCCCTAGGTCTCCACCTTTTCACAACTAAAGGCTAGTCTAAGGTTATCTATTTCTGTCTTTTCTCTAACACTGCTCTGAGTAGGATATGACATTGTCATTAAGCAAGTGAATGTAACAATTGGTTTCTTCTCTGTCTGGGTGGTTCTTCTCTACAAGTGTTTGTAGCTCTGTATGTTTTTTCAAGATTTCCTTTATTTCAGAAGAACTTTGCTGTACCGACTGATGATACACTACCTCCTCTTCAGAAAGCCCCCCAACCGCCATTCTCTGTGGCTCAGCCAGAAGTTGCTGAAGTTTCTCTGTAGATAGTTCCTCTGAGTGTTGCTCCACCACTTCCTCAACACCACCACTGTGTATCTGCAGGCCTATGGACTCTGGTGTAGTGACAATGTCATCAACCACAGGGTCCATTGCAGGTTCAAGCTCCTTTACACAGCCTTCAAAGTCTCTCTCCCATATAACTTCAGGCCATACGTCTATCCAGGCAGATCTCAGTGTCTTAAGAGACACTGGCCCAGTATTTCTCAATTAACCCCAAACAGGGAAAGGTTTTGTAATGCTCTTCCCAGAATTCTTTAAGGGGTGAGACCATCTGGAAGCACTTCAGGAACAGTTCCTTGCTGTACAGCTTCTGGTTAGCTATAGCCTGCTGGTCTGTAGGCTGCAATAAAGAAGTTGTATTCGGTGGAAGGAACTCAACTGAGAGCCATGGAAATTCCTCAGCCAATTATTCTTCCAAATTTCATGGCTGAGCAGGAGCACTGTCCATGAGGAAGAGACCCTTGAATAGTAAACTTTTGTTCTCTAGATATTTCTTAAAACAGTAGGACAGAACACCTCCCAGATCCACTCAAAAAAAAAGTACTCTTGTTACTCAGGCTTTTGTATGAGATCTTCACATGACCTCTAGCCTATTCTTCATAACTTTATGTTTTCTAAACACTCTAGGCATCTCAGAGATAAACTAAGAGAAGCTTTATCTTAAAGTCACTAGCATTGGCACACAGCAGTAAGGTTAGCCTATCTATCATAGGCTTGTGGCCTGGCATTTTCTTCTCTTCCTGGGTAATGTATCTTCTGCTGGGCATTTTCTTCCAGAAAAGGCCAGTTTTATCACAGTTGAAACTTTGATGAGAACAAAAACAATTTCTCTGTGTCAGTGTTTCAAAGAGTGTAATTTTCAGCAGCCATTTTATCAGCTCTGAGATTCAACATGCTTAGCTACACTATGACTACAGTTCTCACTTTAAAATTGTGAAACCACCCCCTCAATGGCACAAAATGCTTTGATAGCAGTAATCGTAGCAATTATATAACACACTGACCAAAATCATGTCCACAAACATATATATCTGGGCTCAGACTGATGGTTACATTATGCACTGTGTGTCTTTGTTTATAACCACACAAGCAGCTGGCATTTGGCTACAATTCAAGACTTTGATCATCACCTCAAATTCCGGTTGTAATACAAGCTGTTCATATGTGAGGTCAGCTATAACCTGAACATCCACTGTAAGTCCCTGGTTTCCAAAACCAAGCAACTGCCAGGTGTGATCCCAGCACTCAAGAGGCTGAGGCAGGAAGACTGCTATGAGTTAGAGACCAGCCTGGGCT